ACACAATAGCCATACTTTATAAGAACAGTATATATTTTAGAATATTTAGTCTTAAATATTCTATATAAATATATATTAATATGTAAATATTGAATATAATATAAAGTATATTTAATTCATTAATAAATAGTATTTTGCATATCTACTGGAAAAAGTAGAGCATGTAAGGGACTTCTTCCCAGCATACCTTGCAGTCCACGCTATTCTGTTCTGTTCCCATCTCAGTCCTTAAGAGCGTGCCAAGGGTTCTCGTGCTGCCAGGAACTCCTGCATTCTGCTCCCTCAGCTGTTCCCATGGGAAATCACAGAAACAGACTGTTTAGGCCTGGTTGGACTCTTAGCATCCAGTCAAGCATTCGCTGCCTTGGTTCTGCCCCACTCCTGACTGATGATGTTGACACATGTGGCTGCCCCCTGGGTGCCAGCCATGTCACCCTAATGCTATCCAAGCAGAGCATACCAAGAACCTGCACAAGGCAGGCCTTTTCCCCAGAGTCCCAGCACAACCTGTCCTATTAAGTAGGGAGAGTGGTGGTGGCGTCTAAGTTCAAGGAGTTCCCCATGGGTGGAACCCTGGCACCCCTGCCTCTCACCGGTGATGGCTCTAGTCTACATCTCTGCTCATTTCTTTGCTGCCATATAAAGAATTATATTAAGAGCAGAACTAAAAGACCAGCCAGAACAACCATTAAGAAGAGTAAGTGAATAAATCATAGCAGCTGGAGAAGAAAGTTCAAGACCTCAGAAATCACTGTACATAGAACTGGATAGGAACAATTGATTATTACCAGATAATTGTCAAAGGCCAGGTTTGGGCAGAAGCAAGAAACAACCAAAAAAAAGTCAGAATATCCATCCTGGACCAGTGGGAAATGAGGTTATGAAGATAGCCAAGTTCTTTTTAAAAATCACTTAAATGAGCGGCAGTAATTTGAGCATAATCTCAGCATAGACAGTGGCAAGTTTCAAGTCTACTGTGGAGGAGAAAATCCTGAGTAAAGCACCGTTTTCCTGAACTCAGAAGGACTGTCTTTCCGCTGGGAATGTTTAAGCCCAAAATTTCCAGTTAAGACTGTCACAATTCTGATCCCTGTTGAGAAAATGAAATTAGACTCCATTTAGACCACATTTGGCCTAATGATGTTCAGTACCTCCTGGGGCCAAAAATTATTCCTAATTGAGCATAAATTACAAAGTGAGATTAGATATCAGGGAGAATCTGGTGATAATCTGGATTGTAAAGTGCCAGAAGCTTCTAATGGAGGGACGGTTTAGGTTTCAGTTCCAGAAGCTCTTTATGAAATAGATCAACACTCTGAACCTGAGACTAGTTTAGACTGTGTCTGCCTATGGGACCTGCTTATCAGATCAGTTGTGACTTAGGGAAACCTGGGGAATATATGAAAAGGTTACAATAACTATATCCACCTATGTCCAGGGCCAGGTTTCTCAACCTTGGCACTGTTAATATTGGGGCCAGATAATTCTTTGTTGGGGCGGGGCTGTCCTGAGCATTGTAGGATGTTGAGTAGCATCTCTGGCCTCTACCCGCTAGATGCCAGCAGCATCCCCACCACCCACCCTCCCAGTCATGACAACCAAAAATATTTCCAGTCCTTGCTCAAGTCCCCTGGGGGTCCAAATCCCTCGCTGCTGAGAACCACTGCTCTAGGGTGACCAACTGTCCCAGTCTGCCTAAGACTGAGGAATTTAGCATGAGACTTTCAGTGCTAAAGCCAGGACAATTCTATATAACCCAGGACCAGTTGGTCACTCCACTGTCAGTGATGTGTTCTATTTCATAGTAAAGTTTAAAAGCAAGAAACCAAATGTTTTGAAAAGTCTTTCTTTGGGAGGCATTGATAAAGACATTTGGGAAAACGTATCATTCCACCTCAGCACGTTTCCCGATTCTGGAAAGTCTTTAGAGTTCTGACCGTCTTTTTCCTCAGTGCCTCTAAAGATGGGCCATTGGGATGTTTGATGCTGGCCAGTGAACCAAGAGGACGTGATTCAAACTGTGCCATCTTGCTAGAAGAGAGGTTCTTGCTTGACACCTGGTAATGAGTTTGAGTGACAGACTTCTCCTTAGAATTGTAGGCTGTGTGACAGTATACATCATAAAAGTGACAGCAACAGTGGGGACTAATTTAATTCCATTTTCCTTGCAGCCCTGATAAATCATTGCTGCAGGGAAAAATAAATTTTACTTTCTCAGACAAAAACGATTTGAATAACGATGTGCTCTGAGGAATCAGGGACTGAGAGAAGGTCTGTTAGTGGGCTTAAAAATATTTAAATAGCGTGTCATGAAACTTGTTGCAAATGCCCCCTGCGCCTGGCCTGGTATGTGACATACCAGGAGGGCCTCCTTCCCGGACTGATTAGAAGAGCATAAAATCGTACAGGCCATCTTGTGTTTTTTAGGGTATCTCATGGGAAAAGGTAACTGATTAGAGTGCTGCGTATCCTCCATGAGTTGGTGGATGAAACAGTTAAGATAGTGATTCTAGAGTCTGGAGTCCTGACCATTTACAAATAGGAAAATTCTCAATGTGAATGGAAAATTGCCAGTGATTTTCATCTTCCTTCCAGAAAATGATTGTTGCTTAGGAATGTGGTTCTGCTGGGAGGTTTTTTAAATGATACAGAGAATGAGTTATGGAGGGAGGAGGACCTGGGCCCCACAGTGCTGTGCATGCGGAGCCTAGTGCATCTGGGTGGGGCACTGTAGACGGAACATCTCTCCCCGAGAGGACAGTGGAGAATGGACCCTAATCCTTGTAGGGAAACGTGTACTTTGTCTAAGCAGAACAATGCCTAACTTACTTTAATGAGAGTCTACCATCCTAGCTGCAGTCCCTCCAAACCACAAGAAAACCACTTGCCTGTGAGTAGAATCCACGTCTTCCTATACTACCCACGGGCATATTGCTCTGGGGTGTAGGGGCAAACGGGGAAACCCAGGAGAAGTTTTGCTCGTGACCATTTCGTGCAGGCAAGCCCACTGTGATTTTCCCACTCTTGACGTCAACCTCAGTTGCACTCCAGCTTCAGCGACTGAAGGAATAAATCATAGGCAGAAGCTATAAAAACCCCTGTCAGGAAGCAGCCCCTTCCTTGGGAGCCGTGTGAACGTAAGGTAAATGAGCAGTTACTGCAGAGATGATTTCATAGGAGTGAGAAATTCTGCACTCGAGCAGCAAGGAGAATTGTTATGTGAATTATAAAACCGCTCCTCTCGCTCCTCGCAGCCCACCTGGGAGCGGTGGTCTTCGTCTGACACTCACCCAGCTTCGGGGAGCTCTGATTTCCCGTTTGTTTTGGCCCTGATAAACAGCCCAGAGCTTTGGGCTAGGTCCGGCCAGCCATTGAAAATACTATTTGTCTTTTAAAAAGCAGGGCCTGGATCCTGTCAGAAATAAGAGAAACAATTGGAGAAGACATACAAGGTGCACAGTATTTTACTGGCTGTGGTTGTCATTTCAATTTCACGTCCAAGAGGAGTTGGGTATTTGGGGTTCCATTAGCTTGATGTCCCCCCGCTCCTAGTTTTCTCAGCTTGGAATTCAAAACTGCCTCTCGGTGTTCTTTATTGCCAACACGCAGCCCTCAGGAGCGGAGAGTCTGCGTCATCTCTGAGTCTGATGTGCTGCTAGACATCCGCGTCCCAGACACTTAGCTGTAGGCACCAGAACAGGAAAGAACAAAATGGTAGGATCTGGAAAGAGAGAAAACCCCAGGCTATAGTGCTGGTGGGAAGTAAAATCATGCAGACATATTTAAGGAATATATAATACTATATGTTTAAATAGTATTTAAGGAATTCTCTGGGCCTGTGCTATGCTGTAAAGTTTGCCTCTGAAGGAAAACGAAACAAAACTTAATCAGTCCTTGGATTACAAAGATCTTGGGACATCTGCCCTTGGGTTTTTCTTGTTCTGAGAATTTGTTTTCTGCAAATGCCTGCCTGGGTCCCTGCTTCGGAGGAATGGCTCTGTCAGTGTATGAGTTTCCCAGAGCTGCCGAAAACTGGGCAGCTTAAAACCACATAAATTTATCCTCTCACAGTTCTGGAGGCTGTAAGTCTGAAATCAAGGTGTTGGCAGAGCTGGTTCCTTCGGGGCCTCTGATGGAGGATCCTTCTGGGCCTCTCTCCTAGTTTCTGGCTTCTGCTGCCATCCTTGGGGTTCCTTGGTTTGTAGGTGCAGCCCTCCAACCTCTGCCTCCATCTTCACGTGGCCATCTCCTTCCTCTCTGTCTGTCTCTGTGTCTCAAATCTCGCTCTCCTTTCTCTTAGAAGGATACCAGTCATTGGAGTTAGGGCCCACCCTAGGGTGATTTCATCTTGAGATCCTTAACTTAATTATATCTACAAAAACCTTCCTTTCAAATAAGGTTACATTCAGAAGTACCAGGGGTAAGGATATGAGTATATCTTTGGGGGGACACAAGTCAACCGACTACCATCGTCAGGGGGCTATATTTTATTCCTCTTCATATATCTCAAGTTGCTACTTGCTTTGCTAGAGTCCATTTACAAAACCTCACTGAGATGAATTGTTAAGCTGATTCCTGGCTCTAATATTTGCCTCCCCACCTCCATGTTCAGGCTTAAACATCCCTTCGTATTACTTCTGCCATATCACTCCTAGGAGACAAAGGCCAGACTGGCCAAACCCTCCAAACGTGACACTCCCAGGCACTGAATTCTCATGTCCTTGCAAATCAAATCAAGGAGGACAGGCTTACAGTCCTATGAGGCTCCCTACCCCAGGCTGTAACCTTCTGCCTTCACACGTAGAGCATATGAATATGCACAGGAAATGATTAACTATGGTGAAGACCAGAGACGTGGGGAAGGGGTGGCAGTGGAGAGAAGAGATGCCTCAGAACTGATTTCTCCAGCAGTCAATTTATCCAGAAAGACAGGGTAGCAGAGCAAGGCTCTGGACAGACTCTAATTGTTTTTTTTCCTTTTTTGATTTGTTTCCTATTAGCAAACTGCCTAGTTGGGCTAGAGCTGTCGTTCCCAAAATATTTTACGTCACAGAGAAGGCTTGGAACTATTATCCCTACACGATTACAGGTAAGCCCTTCGTATAACCAGCATGTCACATGCAGCACTGCAAGCACATGGCGGTAGTCAACTTTCATGGATTTAGGGTGAATTATCCAAGCAGGGACTTATGGGAGCCCCATAATATCTCCCCAAACCCTTTGCCTTCATATTGTTAGGTCAACGCTCTCCCTAGCAGGGGGTGGTAGGAGTTAAGCTAAACCATTCCGTATTCCTTCTTAAAGCAATTGTAGTAAATAGCATATGGAGGGGAAATGGGAAGCTCTTTCTAGTGACATTTCTACAGGTTTCATTATCCTTCTTTCTCCCTGTTTCCTCAATAATCTCCTAGTAATTTTGGGGTGTGGTTTGTTTATAAGCAAGTTGTTTATTTTGACTTGTTTGTTTTACAGCACCCCATCTCCCCTAAAAAAACCCCAAATGACTGTAATTTATGTAAAAGATTCTTTTGGGTCTCTCTGCCTCAAACTACTTCCTTTGCAAGTGGATAATATGAAAATCTTTAAGATCACTTTCCCTCTCACTTGTAATAGAGTGGTAATAACCTCTGACACTGAACTAGAAACTGTGGCCAAAAAATTTAGAAGGCTTGGTTCCTACCCTTGAACATATGAAAATTCGAGATCCCACTTGAATATCATCATAACAAGCCCTTCTTATTGGCTGTAAAAGCTGCTTTTCCACTTAAAAGATTTCCTTTGTGGTTAGTGAAATGCCCTACTGGAATTATTAGTCTTTAATTCTGCTTTTATAATGCCAGCTCTTTGGTTTTTAATTAGCCAAAACCTATAGGCTAATTGAATCTTGTCTTACAGTCCTTATCTGCCCAACCACAAAAGTATCATATGAAAGAGTTTTAAGAGCAAACATGGAGACATTCAGCATTTATGAAAATTAAATTTTGGAAGGTTTCCTTACTGCATTTTTAATAATTATAATTCGTCAGTATTTGTTAGCTCTGTGGTTTTATATTGCTTATAAGCGTGGTCTAAATTATCATTTTGTCTCTCTTTTTTTTTTCCCTCTTGTCCAAATGAACATCTGGGACCAGAATACACAGTAAGTTTTATTTAATCATTTAAAAATATTCAGCCTAAGGTCAATGGAGTAAGTGGAACTTCCCTTGTATGTCTCATCTCGTCAGTGTAATAAAAAAAAAATAGGGAAATAATTCAGAATCAGATACTTAAATGTAGGCTATTACATAGTTATATATAATGGAATAGCTTGAATGTTCTCATTTGTTCAAGAACATGAATGTTAATTTAAAATGCCTTGATAGTCACTTTATATAATTAACTTTTACTTGTAATTTTAAATAGCTTGACTGCTCTGCTGGTGATAGTTCACTGTAATAGAAGGACAGTTTCTAGAAACGTGATATGGAAAAGACAATGGTAGTTATGGATGGAAGGTGGGGCTTACACTTGCAGGTTGTGGTCTGATCCCTTTTGGAGAACGTTGAAACTGGAAAGACATGCAAACTATTTTACTCAGAGCTCTGCATTGGACAGTCTTGGTGGCTTGATAAAAATAATTTAATTTCTTCCTATCCTAAGACCCTCTAGAATCATTACTTACACTAAAAAATGGGACCCTATAACATCATTGTGTCATGGTATTTTCATTTGGATCATTTTCCTCAATGGCCAGTGGGTCAAGCTGTCATAACAAGGAAATGGTTAACTGAGCTTGGATGGAGTTGAGTTTTTGGTCTTAATCAAACAGCCAAAGGAAAGAGAGAGATGGTGAGAGAGAAATGGAGGAAAATGATTGATCACGTCCTTAGCGTGGGCATCATGGTACCTTGCACATAGTAGATGTGCAATCGCTAGTTATTGGATGACAGAATAAACGCATGAATCATAGGTAGATACATCATCCTAACAGATACCATGAAAGTGTCACAGGCTTTGGAGTCAGATAGGCCTGGTTGTCTTCTGGCTCTGCCACTTACTGGCTGAAGTTCTTAAGTGAGTGACCCTCAGTTGCCAGTTCTTGAACTCATGTTGGTCCTTAAGTACATTCGCACCTGTTCTCTGCAAAGTAGAAAAAAGTGGAATAATATTCAAAATTTTTCATAAAATTACATTTATTCCACTTAAAGAACTGTTGATAATTATGTCCCTCATTCTTGGGTATTAAAATGTCTTTTCTTTTATGAAATGATAGGAATATACATAACATTTTCTCCGAGTGTCTAACTTCAAAAAAAAGGGCAATTCTATTGCAAAATACAAATTTTACATTTAGAAGTTAGGGAACCACTGCTCTAGAAAATGCAGCTTAACTTCTCTGAACTTAAGTTTTTCATCTCTAAAATTGGGATAGTCTCCCTTTCATAGAGCTGTGAGTAGAAGGACTCAATGATTAATGCTGGGGTTTGAAGACTTTTTCTATAAAGGGTCTTACAGTAAATATTTTCTGCACTGTGGTCCAGTCTCTGTCACTGTGAAAACAGCCATGGAGGCTGTGTAAAGATATTGGCATGGTTATATTTGCCCGGGCAGCAGGCCAGATTCAGCTCCCAGGCTATAGTTTGCCAACCACTGATCTAATGTATAGAAAGCTGTCAGCACGTTGCCTGTAGATAGCTGGCAATTAAATAGCTCCTACCAAACTGCGCCCCCCCCCACCGACCCCCCCGCAACCCCGTTCCTTTGCTTCCAGCAATTGCACAGTTATCAAGAGGAAGACTTTGGAATCTTTTGAATCCTGCCTCCATTAACAATTCTGCAAAGTGCTTCCCTTTAAGCCTCCATTTCTCATCTGTAAGTGGGGAAGATGTAGTAACTATCTTGTAAGAGTGATATGAAGATTATATTAAATAATCCATGTGAAATCTTAGCCTAGTGCTTGGTACATGGTAAATATTCAGTAAATGTTCATTGTTATTTATTTTGCAATGCTGGAAGCTGCCATCATTAAAATGGAAGTCCTATGGGCAAATAAATGAGAATATATCTTAGTACCCTTCAAAGCAGACTAGCTCCAGTTACTAGACCAGAAGGTACTAATTGCCTAGGATATTATTTGATTTTATTGATATCTGACGCTATCCCACTTCCCACTTTGCTGAAAGCTTGCGCATGGACTTTTCTTTTGAAATGTAATCAATAGCTACAGGGACAAGAGAATTCTTGTCTCAATAACTATACAAAGGCATTTATTTGCCTGGTGAACCTTAGAATTAGGTCACCTTGTCTTGACCCAAAAGTGATGGCCTTTATTCTCCATAATCTCGTGACAGTACCATGAAATGTGAGGGTGATTAACAGAGAAATGAAATCTGAAAATGTTTAATGATATTGTATTCATTTTTAAAGAATGTTATTAAAGTACTAAGATTTTGAAAACAATGCAACGGAATGAAAACCATAGTTCCTGACAAAGCCATCCCCATGGGAATGCACATCCTAAGGCAGCCCTCCCACAGAAGCCTTTCCCGCCAGCCTCCATTACAGTGGTCCCCCCATATCCATGAGGGATACCTTCTAAGACCCCCTGTGGATACCTGAAGCCACAGATAGTACCGAACCCCGTATATATTATCTTTCTTCCTAGACATATGTATTTGAGATGCAATAGCAATACCAGCAGGATTTTTTTTTTTCTTTCCTCAGAATTTCACAGATAGAAGATCCATTCCTAGCATAGATCTTAGCAACCTCAGCATACCATTTTTTTTCTTTCTTTATTGAGTCAGGAATTTTCACCTTTTCACTTAAAGGAAGCACTTTACTGCTTCTCTTTGGCATATCTGAATTGCCAGCGTCACTGCTCTTGCACTTTGGGGACATTATTAAGTAAAATAAGGATTACTTGACACAAGCACTGTGATACCATGACAGTCAATCTGATAACCGAAGGCTACTAAGTGACTGATGGGTGGGTAGTGTATACAGCATGGATCCGCCGTATACAAGGAGATGATTCATGTCCCAAGCGAGATGGAGCGGGATGACACAAGATTTCACCAGGCTCCTCAGAATGGCGGGCAATTTAAAACTTAGGAATTTTTTATTTCTGGAATTTTCCATTTAATATTTTCAGACTGAGGTTGACCACAGGTAACTAAAACTGAGGACAGCGAAACCAGGGGTAAGGGAGGGGGCTACTGTACCGTGACCCTCGATCTCCTGCGCCAACCCTGTGTAGTCCACGGAGGATTTCTTAGGGACTCGTGGCCCTTACTTCCGACCAGCCTCTGCCCCGAGTTCTCCTGTGGCTCTAATCACACAGTTCAGACTTTGAAAGGAACATAAATTATTTTATTTCTGTTTGAGAAAATTTGGGGACAGAACATAAAAAAGAAGTTAATTATGGTTGCATAGTTTCACACTCACCCCCTTCTGTTTGACTCTAAGTATTACTTGATATCTTCTAGGCCCTTGTTTTTTGGGTCAACTTCTCCCTAATCCGATCCTTGGGATGGTTTCCTGGGGCTGCCATAACAAAGTGCCACAAATTGGATGGCTTAAAACGACATTAATTTATTGTCTTACAGTTCTGGAGGCTGGAAGACTGAATCAAGTTGTCGGCAGGGTCCTGCCCCCGATACCTGTAGGGCTGGAATCCTTTGCTTCTTTCTGGCTTCTGGTGACCCAGGCGTTCCTTGGCTTGTGGCCGCACAATTCCGATCTCTGCCTGTTTTCACGTAGCTGTCTTCCCTCTGTGTGTCTCTGTGTCTTCACATGGCATCCTCGTCGCTGTGTCTCCTTCTTCTTCTCCTAAGGACACTGGTCGTTGGATTAAGGACCTGCCCTACTCCAGTGTGACCTCATCTTCTCTAATTACATCTGCAATGACACTTATTCCAAATAAGAGCACATTCTGAGGAACTGGATTAGGACTTCAACATATATTTGCGGGGGGGGGGGGGGTCACAGTTCAATCCATAACACTGTCTTTCAATTTAGTTAATTGTCATTTATTATGTTAACAGTCATTTATTAAGCACCAACAATGTGTAAAACATCATGCTAGAAGGCATCATTGAGCAATGGCCCCTGCCCTCTGGGGAGTCATCAGCAAGTCATAGGATTTTCTGGAGGCAAGACAGGCCAGGCCATCGTTCAGCCCAGGGGAGAGGCTAGCACCAGACCTGCCCACTGGCTACATGAGCTCTGAGCAGCACTGACAGCAGAGGTTCAGACCAGAAGGCAGAATGAATGGCACTGGGGAATCCAGCCAGACAAGCAATTGCAATGTGAAAGGAAGGGCCCTGTGCTCTGGATTGGGGCCTTGAGCTTAAGTGACAGGGCTATAGTCCCCAAGAAGGGGTCCAGGCAAGAACAGGACACGGCCATCTTACACAGGTTGCTCGATCATGAGATGCTGGGGTGATAAAGTTGCCAGCTTTAGCAAGTAAAAATACAGACTATCCCATTAAGTTTGACTCTCAGATTAACAGCAAATAGTTTTTAGTATAAGTATGTCCCAAATATTGCAAGGAATATACTTATACTAAAAGATTGTTTGTCTCATATTTTATCTAGCAATCCTTTGGGGGGAGGGGTGGCAGTGGGGCAGAACTGGTCTCAGAGACTAAAGCACAAAAATCTGATCATAAGAACAGTGCACCTTGGTAGGCCAAGGGGAAGGGAAGACAAGAATTGTAGGACTCAGGAACCTGTCCTGCAGTTGACGTGCCGCATTAACGCTCAGGCCAATTGAATGACCCATCAGAGCAACTGAAGTGCTCCTTCCTCAAGATTGGGTCAGGAAGTGAAATGGACTGAAGGGAGTTGGGGAAAATTAAGGGAGAGCGGACGAATACATAGCTGTCAGTATTTCAAGGAAGACCTGTGCTAAGTGTTACAGTTACAATGCAAACAGAGGATTGTGGAAAGGAGAGAGAAGTTCTGCCTGGGAGAAATACAGGAAGATTTCCTGGAGAAGGTGGGATTTGACTGGTCCTTAGGGACAGTAGAACTCCCACCTGCAGACGCCTGCTCTGTCTTAGCTTGAACTGCATAACAAAACACCATAAACTGGGTGACTTAAGCGCCAGACGTTTATTTCTCACAGTTCTGGAGACTGGAAGTCCAAGATTAAGG